GATGAGCCCTACAGGACCAGTGGTGTGAGTGGCGAAACAGGGAGGGTAGAGGGAGAGTGGGTTGCAAAGTGGGAACCGATTACAAGGAACTATATATGACCTCCTCCCTGGGGGACGGACAACCGAAAAGTGGGTGAAGGGAGACGTCAGGACAAGATATGACAAATTAACAATTTACAAATTATCAAGGGCTCATGAGGAGAGGGTAGCGGGGAGGGAGGGGAAACTGAGGACCTAATGCCGGGGGTTTAAGTGGAGAGAAAATGTTTTGAGAATGATGAGGGCAATGAATGTACAAATGCGCTTCACACAATTGATGTGTGTATGGATTGTGATAAGAGTTGTATGAGTCCCTAATAAAATTATTAAAAACAATTTAAATAATCATTTTATGAAGGCAATGTTTTAAATTCTATACCATGGAATCAACTAATAACACTCTAAGTGCTCAGTGGTTACGCAGGGGGCTGCTAACCAGAAGGTCAGCAATTCAAAAGGACTCGTCAGCTCCCTGGAAGGAAGATAGGACTTCTACACCTGTAAAGAGGTGCCGTCCTGGAAAGTCACAGGGGCAGCTCTTCCCTGTCCTCCAGGCTCGCTGCGAGTCAGCGTGGACTCGGTGGCATGTGATCGATGCTACGAAGCGATGCTTGACAATGTTCTCTAACATAAAATGACAGTGAGGTCTCTAATGTGAACCAGAGATGTACAAAAACCTGATATATGAATGGGTTTGGGGCTAGCACCTAATTTTAGCCCCCATCCAAAACAATTATTTCTTATGACATGGGTGTGCGTGATGTCCAGTCTCATGAAGAGCTCGTGCAAGGTCTGGTGAAGACATTACACGGCTCCTGCTGTCAAAAGGATAGCATGTCAGGCCTTAAAGGACTGTCTTCAAACAAGCAACAGTCGAAGTGAGGGACAAACTTAGTCACATGGAATACACACAAGAGCCTGTGTACTCCAAGCATTGTAAATGATAAAATCTAAATCCAAAGAGAGGAACAGTATCAGACCTTAAATGGTGAACACCTACCTGCTTGCAGAAGCCTACGGATGGCACTGGAAGCACATTTCCATTTGCAGAGTCCACACAGAGGGGACTCCTCCAATGACCCCCCTCCCATCCCAGTTGAGGGATGTGAATAACTTCGTGATCAGGGAGCTTTGTAAAGTTGATTATGGCACATGTAGTTAGGTTAACATGTAACAACACCATCTGAAATCCCTCTTGACCCACTGTAAAGTTGTTTCAGTAGAGAAGAGGTAAGGGGAATACAAATGGATTAAGACTCTGACAAATACCCTCTGATCATAGACCAGGGATGTGAATAGCCTTGCTATTTATTACACAGAGTACATTAGAAAGTGGATTATTCCATTATTTTAAAAATAATTGTATTGCAGGCTCATACAACTCTTATCACAATCCATACATCCATCGTGTCAAGGACATTTGTATATTTGTTGCCATCATAACTCTCAAAATATTTTCTATCCACTTGAGCCTTTGGTATCAGTTCATCCCCCCCCTTTCCCCACCCTCCCTCTCTCACGAACCCTTGATAATTTATAAGTTATTGTTATTTTGTCATGTCTTACACCGTCCAATGTCTCCCTTCATCCACTTAGAAAGTAGATTATTATAGATGTAGTCATGTTAAAATTGAACACAGTATCATTTGATTTCCCTTTCTAATGTGTTCTAGTTTTTAATATACTATCTTTTCTTTTAGATTGGGAAGTTTATTTATTTTATTTTACTATTGTTATATGTTTTTCAATATATTAAATCCAAGATAGGTAAATCTTTAGAGACAGTAATAGGATTAATGGTTCTTTGGGGGTATGGCAGCGGAGGTTGGGGGGAATTGGGAGCTAGTAACGAGTATAAGAATGTGGAAAGTGTTCTAAAACCAATTGTAGTGATGATTGTACAGCATTTCTTGATGTGATTGAACTACTGAATTGCATGATATGTGAACTATATGCCTATTAAACTGTTAAATTAAAAAAAATGAATACATAGATAAGAGTATTGACTTTGGATTTAGAAAGTATTTGCAGAATGTTTTCAAAACGAATGCATTTCCTTCATGGCTAAAAGAGTAAAAATATATCCTCAACCAACAATGGAGCAAAGGAAATGTATTCTTCTTTCATAAAAAGCAACATTAATTACTCAAGTAAATATACTTGTTTATTTAGTAAAGGAAAGCTACTGGTAGTTGCATTATTATAACTACGCACACAGCAGCATCCACATCTCAACTTAGAATGCAAAAGAGGAAGAGGAGAGGCTGGGTGCAAACTCTTCAAGGGTCAAAGGTAGTGGGGAGATGGAGGCCAACAAGGGTATGGCAGTGACGGCAGGAGAAGAGGCAGGTGTGAATAGCCACAGTTGATGGTGAAATACTTCTCACTTCAGAGCCCTGGCCAGACAGTGGGCCGGTCAGAGTCATCCAAACCAACCCCTGGGGTCGCCATTCCTGCTTGGGCCTTGTACATTAAGCAAACCAGACAGGGAATTTTGCAAAATCACCCTGCAAGATAAACTGGCCGTTTGAGGTAGACTACACTTACAAGAGAAAAGAATATGCTAGTCTGCAAACTCAGCTACCAGTATGTCAACACATGGCCAACAACTCCCACCTTCTTATTTCTGCAAGCCACTGCCACTCTTCTGCGGAGTTTCCCTCCCAAATACCAGGAGCTCAACACTCTGCCTCAACTCAACGCCACGAGCATGCCCAGAGCAGAGCGAGAGAGCAGTGCTGTGGTGCCAGCCCTAGGGTGCTTCTCCTGGTATGCAGAACTGTGCCTTTGTCTCACTGGAAGAACAATGTGTACTCGTACACAGGGGAGGAGGAAGAGAAGTTCTCTTCTCCAGTCCAGGTCAGATGCTTTTGAAAGGCAAAGGAGAGAGTGTAGGAAGCTTGGCAAGTAGGAAAACGTTGCTGAGACAACTGCCCATGAACACGAGCAAAATGCTGTATTTCTCTTGAGGGAGCATGAATCGTTTGGCTTCCTGGGGAAAATAAAAGTACTCAAGACTCTGAGAAGGTCTCATTTGTGATCTTTTCTCAGGAGCAAATGATTACCAAGTTTAAAGAACAATACCCTGACTTACCTGGAAGACATCTGTCTTGTTTTCAAATAGACTGACAAAATATTTATAGTCAGCATAAGCCCAGAATTGGGAATGATCATAATCTCGAAATGGACCAGAACCACCAGACTGCTCACAGTTCCAGCTCAGAAACTCTTCGAGCGTGGCTTCCACGTAACTGCACGTAGTTTCAAACTGAGGAGCTGCAACGGAAGGGAACCCACCTTTCAATGTGTATTGAGCACGGTTCCCAAATAAGTTTCCTAATGGTAGATAAGTTCAACAATTTGTTTAAAAGTTAGCTATTGCTTAACATTAATTATAAATGAAAATAATTCTGTACTCGCTATATCATTATATACACACACACATATAGAAGTGTATTTATTTATTTATTATATAGGGATGTACAAGGGGGTACCCCCCAAAAAACCCAGATGTGATGTGAGGGGGATAGTGCATTTAAAATTTGTCCCCCAGATCAGACTGTTAATCAATCTTTCTATTTAGAGGTTCTGAAGACTCCATTACAGTGTGCAACAAAAATGGCCTGGTTGGTGGCAGAGGGGGGACTGATTTTGCCATCACAATGCACCTGCTCACGCAGCCATCTCAGTGCACCAGTTTTTTGGCAAAAAAGCAGCGTGCCTTTCTTGCCCCATGCACCTGACTCACCAGACCTCACTCCATGCGACTTATTTTTGTTTCCGAGAATGCAGAAGGACATGAAAGGACAGCGATATGACAAGAGTTGAAGAAAAAAATCAAAGAAGGTTCTGTCAGCCATCCAAACAGATGAGTTTGAAAACTGTTTCCAAGAATGGAATCACAGATTTGACAAATGTATTAAGTGTAATGAAGAGTAAGGTGATACGGTTGTTTTGTTTTAAAAAATGTAAATACATAGCTTTGAGGTGGGGTGAATTCTTTTTTGGGGGGGGGCACCTCTCATATATAATTGTGAGGGAGGTGCAGGACCGGGCAGTGTTGTGTTCTGTTGTGCACAGGGCTGTTATGGGTTGGAACCGACTCAATGGCTCCTAACAACCACAACAAGATGTCACTAGGACCCACACCTCACAGCTCACGATTAAATGTAAGAGTGAAAAAGTTTTCTTTCTGAAAGACGACCTTTTCCTGTGGCTAGCCCGCCATCCCATGGCGGACAGTAGCTCACCAGTTCTGTATGCGCTCCCAGGGAGTCTGAGTTCAGAACTGTTTCATACGACTGTGAGGCCATCATTTGCCTTTCCCCTTCCATCACCTCCCAAATGTACAGTGCCCTTTCCCAGAGCCACGAGATGTGGATATTCTTAAAATATTATACTCCTAATTTCTAATTTGGTGGTCACCAGGAATAATCCACATCAACAACAACTTTTGAAAGCACTCATTTTGTATGGCTCTAAAAGAGCCCTGAGCATAAAGTTTGGGGCCTGCAGCTTTAGGTTAAAAAAAAAAAAAAAGCAACAACAAAAATCTTGTCTTTTGAAAATTCTAACTTGACATGGCACCTAGGTGAGCACAGCTCCTCAGAATCATTAAGAAGACCGCGGTACTGCAAAGCCAGCTCGCTATTCATGGACTCATGCGCTGCAGAATCGTTTATTAAACACCGAATTGTAAATAGCACTATGCCCACACTTGGGAGGTCCCCAAAGAAATCGACAATACCCTTGGGCTTAGACCATATTTCGACAACGTTAAAGTGTTCACTGGAATAAAGGAGAATGTGAGCATACAACTACACGCGTGATGCTGCGTGTTCCTAGATGTGCCCTAGATCCCTCCAGAGGTGAGAGAAGGGCTCAGAGGTCTGCCGTATGTCTACGGTGGGTGATTATTAGGGGTGTGGCTCATTCGCCTAGTCCTGGTCTTCTAAAATAGTGGTATAATATGTTTTTGTTTTGTTTTGTTTTTTGTTTTTACAATTACCAGAATCTTTTAAATACACACAGGTTAATATTTAAAAATATGATTATGCCTTTGCAAAACACAAAATTCTTTCAACTCACCCATCACCTGACTGAGAGAGAAAGATCTGGAGATGTACTCTGATAAAGACGGAGCTCTAGAAAGCCCTCTGGGCGGTCCACTCGGTCAGTGAGGGCTGCGTGGAGTCAAAACGGAATCAACAACGCCTCGCAGAAGGAGGTATGAGGAGATTCGGAGTAAATATACATAAGGCGGCGTTCAGAACAGTGCCTGACACATGACCTCTCAGTAAATGTTAGCTATTGGTAGTAGTATTACCTTTGGAATATAATCAGGATGTGTGTGTGCTTGTTCTCAAAGTTAGTGTTTAACAGACAGCAGATTTATTTGACTAAAATTAAAAAGGAAAAAGTATGAGCTTATCTCTGCTATTGCTCATCTACCATTTAATGTTAAAATCCCGTAATCATTTCAGACTGATTAGAAACGTTTCTGCATATTGACCCTGCTTTGCCTGCTTCTCATGAGAAGCCCTGAGGGGTGCAATCAGTTAAGCATTGGGCTACCAGGTAAAAAGTGGGCAGGATCCTCAGAAGAAAAGTCTGGCAGTCTGCTTGCGACCAGTCACAGCCTTGAACCCCCGAGGCAGGCAAGTCCTCTCTGCAACACGCGGACGGCTGTGAGTCAAATTCACAGCAAGGGCTTTTATACCTTACACCTGCCTGGGTTCTAGATACCACCCCCACCCCCACCTGAATAATTCTATGCGATATGCTACAAATCAAGAGAATGCTTGGAGAAGTTGGAAGGGAAGTTGAGTAATTTTCTAGTTCCTCCTAAAGCATTAATAGATTCCAGAAGTCACTTGGCCACAATGCTTAAAACACTACATTTCTAGATGACGGAATGTACTCACATTGAAATACAAGTTAAACACACATTCTGAAGTTAGACCAATAGGGTGTGGAGTCCTTTAGCTTAAAACAACACTTGTTTTATCTTTGATATGAATTAAGGTCTAACATCAATTGCTTTATCTGACTGTAGAGCCCCAAAATGAAATGCTGCAAGTTTCTAGGGAAGAGGAGGACAATGGCAAAATCAAATGACATAAGAAAAACGGAAGAAGAAGCTCTGCATGTTTCACATTTTGGGTCATGCAGACCCAGGCCAGGCAGCTGACAAAGCAGAGGGTAAAATAACACCCATGACGAAGCACTGAAAATGCCATCTGCAGGCACAAACACAAGGGCACATTCTGCCTGAGGCAGAGCAGAACGGACATTGGGCTGTTTTTCAAGCACACAGGAACATAGATAGCATGTTAACAAATACCTAGGCTTAATCAAGACTGTATCCGTTCAGAAGCAGATCACCAAGCAGGCATCTCTGCGTGGGCTCAGACCCCCACTCTTTGGACTAGCAGCACTGTGTTTAACTGTTTGTACAACATCTAGCAATGTACATATACAGTGCATGCATAAATACCTGCCACCTTGTGGTTGTTAGGTGCTAGCAAGTCAGTTCTACCTCAGAGACCCCGTGTACAAGAGAACTAAACCCTAGAGATTGTTTAGTGTTGAAAACAAACAAGCCAACTGTTAGGCTTAGCCGTTCTTCAAAAACTTCCCATAAGTTTTCATCTTTGTAGCGTGAATGGTTAAAGAGAGGACTGGAAACACAGGAGGCTGTTGAAGAGACGTGGTTAGGAGGATGACTTATGGTCTTACCTGGATCTGTGGTTTTCATTCCCATTCTGAATCTTATTGGCTTTCCACCAAGGACCTCGGAAAGGCGTTTAGCATTCCAGTGTCGTGCTGGCCAATCACAAACCATGTTACAGAAGACTGCGGGCTGTTGTAAAGACATGATAATTTCTTTTGCTTTCTCTGGTGTAAAAGGTTTGACATGTTCACCTAGGGAGGGAAATAAACAGAGCAGCAGCTAGATAACTATACAATTATTCCACATAACCCGAAGGGGGAAAAAAAAGCTAATATTGCTTCTATTATGGTCAATCTTCCTGTGAAATTGCATTTATACTTCATTTTTACTGTTTATATAAATAGAAACAATATTTTATATTTAAATACTTACAGTACCAAAAATTTGAAATTTTTTCTGATTAAATTTAAATGTTGGCAAATACTTATAATATTCAATGTCAAAAATGAAGCTTTAGCACTAAAAAGCTTCCAACCACCCTGCCAATTCAAAAAGATGGAAACATTTGAGACTGTTTTTTCCTAAATAGGAGTTTATATAAGAAATGCTGACAGAGAAGGACATTGGGCCTCCACTCAAGTACTCCCTCAATGCAAGAATACTTTCTTCTATTAAACTGGCATTCTATGATGCTCACCTTCCCGACACAACTGAAGACAAAGGGGTAAATAAGCAAATGTGGTGAAGAAAG